ATGATTGAGTGGTTTTGTTCCTCTTGGAAGACAATAACCGAAAGTGCACTGCCCTTAGTAATCATTTGATATCCTGCTTTGGCTTTCCGCAGTCCAATTGTAAACACCTGATTAGATATTGCAAAAGGTGCAATTCGCGACTTCGTGCTCTAGCAATTTCATGAGTAAAATGTTCGATAAAATAGCGAAGTTTGTATTGATGTGATGTGTGTGTGTGTGATGTTGTGATTGAACATAACTACATGAAGAAGTGCTTGTTAGCTAATCATATCATGTTCGAGCTGGCCATTCATTTGGGTGGGTCAGGGATATATCCCCATCATCGTCTGTAGGCCAAACATTATTTCGTGATTCGTAACTGAGGCGAAATTCGAACACGGGATTAAGAACGCACAAAATTTGGTACATATTGCTTTTATGTTTATTAGTTTTCTGATTTGCGCCTATGCGTGTCTGTGACAAAGTTATCCATGGCAACCAGCGCTTCTTGTGGAATATTTGGAAAGCAACAGTGTAAATAATGTCCGAGTAGAAGAGGATGAGTAATGCGTTGTCCATTTTCATGGGCTTCTATGTAAACATGTAGGCTTAGCGACTAGTACGGCCGGTTAATGACGGAATACAGCTGAGGTATAGGACGCGAAAACGAGGACGCGGTGTACCTTCAGTCTTTGACTTTTCGTAGGCTTAACAACTTTGAGGTCCGTGTGGTGCAGTAAAAGAAAGATATTGCCATGGTGGAATAATTAAAGAGGACGTGGTTGCAAGTCCTTTTCCGTCAATTTTTTCAATGGACCCTACCACACAGATGGATGGCGAGCCATCGAAAATGGCATGGTTTCGATCACACGAAGAGGCGAAACTTAAAATGAAACTAGATGGCGTATCTGCCTAAGTATGCTCCTAAATAAGATTTCACATCCTTTACATTTCGGTCTTCTGCCTAAGATGCGTTACCATTTTAGGAAGTTGTAATTCCGGTTGTGGCGACTGACCACTGAGCCGCATGGGTAAGGAATATTTGTGCCCCTAGCGCCAACAAAAAGGGTGCGTTGGAAACACATTCTTAGTGACTGAAAGTCTATTCGTTTCAGATGAATTTTGGTCACTCGAAAACATTTTTACTTTATCCTATCGACTATAATACGGTGTAATTAAATTTTACGATTAATTCCGGCTTAATCTTAACTGTGTTTGCAGCCAGGCAAAACTCATTTAAAATAAATGGTAAGGGTGCTATGAGAAACTCATTCTGAGTAACCAAACGTCATTCAAGCATTTTCTATTCGGAACTGCAAGGGGCGCAAATTAGTACACTTAACGAGCTACAAATATCACTGGATCAGACCTATTTTGGTCACTTATACGGACTATAGCCATGTGGTTTGCATGACAGAGTAAGGTGCGAACCTAGCGAATATTTAAAGGCTTGGTAATGGAAATAAAGTCCGTTTTCACGAGGTAGCTTAGGCAATAAATATGAGGCTTTAATGTACGACCATGATGTACAACGGACATGACGAAATCTGTCTTTTGTTTCCTTCAGATAAACCCTTGATTCCGCCATATTAACCTGGAAGTGTCGCAAATCTATTGGCAATAAATGAACTTTAATTATTCCTACACGGAACATGTACACTACATAATGGACAGCGGGAGAATTTACAAATTGCTGACCATTTATTGAGTAAAACGTTTACACTCATGTAGTTGCGCAGCACTTATACTAAAAGTGTACATTTGTCACAGAAAAGTTCGCATTCATAGTATTGCATATTTGAGTAATATCCATGCGTTTGCATCCAAGGATGAATTACCTAGTTAAACTGCGCTATGTTGAACGTTATCCTACACAGCCATATCGGATATAACATCACCAATTTGCAGCGCTAAGAGTGTATTAGCATCTGCGCAGAACCCAGGAGCTGTCTTGTAAAAGCATCCTGAACGTGTTCTAGTGTCGCTGTGTCACTCTGCCTTGCATTGCCCAATGGCAAACGGCGGTAATACTACACCGGGCGTGCACAAGTCTTGCACAGTCGAAGTTTGGCGCTCTTAAAGGTGAAGAGCTTGAGGAACAGCGCATTATCTTTCTTGGCATTGACAACGGTGTATATGTCTGGAGAAGTTAAGGATGATGCTGCATTGAGGACGTAAGTGTATTCATTGATTACCATGTGCAAGGGTTTTATCAAAGCATATTAGTGCTTTACCATTTAGATCACAATTGTATCGGACGGTCTTAGTCGTTTCGTCTGAGCAACACACTTTAAAGTACAACGCTATTATGCAAGTGCATTTAAGTCCCTTACTGTATTGCGAAGCATGGACTACTGATTTCTGGGAGCCAATGTGTGCAAATCTATATAACATCCGCAAACATGCAGGGCCTACCGTAGGTCATACCACAAAAATGTTATGAATATAAATCCGAAAGCATAGTGGTTACAGAAAGCAACCATAAATGACGCCACTTGCTCCCAAGGCGCGACAGGATGTCTGTTTACTTATTATGACTGCTAGGATTCTGTCGTTGTGTGAAGTGAACCAAGAAAGAGTAGGGGAGCGGACGTGTCACATTTCGGCTGTATTCTTTAAAAGCCGAATATGAGGTACATGATCAGACGTCGTTTGCATGTCAAGGAATCTGAAAATAATATAATATACATTATAGATATAATATAAATAATAAATTTAATACAGTCAACTGTGCTTCTGATATGGAAAAGCTGACCAGCCTTAAATAACGCAGTATAATAACGCGATGTCTTGGTTGGTTGCTTAGACTCCTTAGTATAATAAACTTGCAATTCTAAGCTGTATAATACTTTCTGTGAATTTAAGGTGGTAAAAGGATCTTTTACTTGAAGATGTACGTGAAATTTTCTAACGGCTTATATAACCTGCTCTGGGAGGAATTATGATGTTTACTTACAAAAATGGCTGTTAAGATACAAAGTTAAGTCCATTTTGTTCAGCTCTATTAACCGCTAAAGAAAATTTCAATATTATCAGTTTGTATCCCTTACCGAAAGCTAGACACGTACGCAAAAGCTAGTTATAGCTCACAAGCCGGAAATCTTTAACTATGTTATAACAAACAAACGCGCTAATCAATATCTGTTTATTTTGTTTGCTGCAATAGTTACCACCAGTCAACGGCTTTCAGACATCCAATACATCTTTTGTTCTGAAACTTAAGCTCAGGAAACGCATTATTTCTAAGAAGATAAGCGCAATACTCCGATGAGGGTACCTGTCTAGCATAGACATTTAATTTGCTTTTTGTATATTGGAAGGATATATTTAACAAATCAGACCCTGTCGTAAGTTTTCGGTTTGCAGACTGACCTATAGTTTAATCAACTTTATATTGTTGCTAAAACCTTAGTTATTCAAAACATTTGTGATTATCAAACAAGTAGAGATCCTTGTATTGCTTGCTTTTGCTACTGATCACGCTGTTATATACGTGCCCCGTCTCACCAAGTATAACTTTATTTATTTGTTTTCTAAGGCATATACACTTTGAAGGCATGTATTGAAGAACGCCAGACAGCTGGGCGATTTGCAAGTAGTGCATCCAGACGATAACGGAGGTTCGAACAATCCGTGATCGGATCAAAAGCAGCGAACAAGCTTGTTGGTCTCTTACGTATGGCTTTCGGACGAGTCAATCCTCGCGCACATTTGTGCAAATGCTCAGCATATATGTAAGGCCACATGTAGATAAGAGATACAGGCCGGATAAAATTGGCATTGCAGTATCCTAACAAAAAGCAACCTAAGGATAAAGAGGCTTGTTTCATCTGTCACATCAGCTATAACTGAAAGTCCTAGGAATGTGCATTGAAAGTCGTTGCCTCCACAGCTTAGCCCTATTTTAATCTACCCGATTTAAAAACACCCTTGCTACCTCAGCGACCACCTCCTGCAAGGAAGCCGCAACACGAATCTGAGAAACGGCCAAATGAAACTTACCACCTAAACAAGGCGGATGTTTGCCGCAGGAAGTTTCGTTTTCCCAAAATTTGTCAGCTTTGAAAAGAATTTCTTTTTTTAGCTAAAATTCCCCCATGACGACAACTGGTAAAAATGACTTGATGACGTATTACACCATATACATAACATGGTGCATAGTTCGATCATCAAGTGCTTACACTGTGCTTACCAAAGGTTATGTAATATGTGTAGACAGTATAACTGTGTGTTGATGTGGGTAAATTGTGGAGCCAAGAAAGCCGTTTCACCTTCCCGTCACATTTGCAATCGTTTCAATATCCTATGGACTTGTTAAGTCCTAGTTGTTATACCTTTGTGATCTGTTGTTCATTTGTTTAACTGAAGTGGCGTATACGCTACTGTTATCAAGAGTTTTACCACTGCGTCTACTAATGGGGTCACTAAAAGTTAGGAAAATAATTGAATGCGCATCCGTTCAACAAAAGTGACAATAAGTAATTTGCAATGCTTTTGCTATAAAAATGACTTAGGTGAGGACATGAATTAGCAGCCTCGAATAAAAAATTAATAATTAAACTAAGGCCAAATGTTGTGAACTTTCGCTGTGAATATTACAACAAAATTCCTCTTGGTTTTCAAGCTAAAATCATCCTATCTCGTATGATCTAAACTAAAAATAACCAATGATCATTCACTAAGCCATTGATTGGAGGGGGCAAAAATTTTACCGACCAGATTTTAGTAAGGATTCTGATGCACTACGTTGAAAATTTTAGCCTCATTCGTGTGCCTGTCAAATCCAGACAATGTTAATTTGTATGGCAGAGTTCTTAACGATGTAGTTATGCAAATATGTTCCCGTAGAGCGTAGTTAGGCTTACTTTGAGCAATTCTTTAATCATTCGTGTTTTTATGAGCCCACACTTTGTTGTGCATTGGTCACAAACTGCCGCGCAACGAGCAATGGGGTAAATCTGTGCTATATAATAACCAGTTACCTAGACTTCAGCCACTCAACCAGCGCTTGTCTCCTTTCGATGAAAACCGTACTGTCGATTACAGTGGTAATAGTTGCTTTGTTTTGTGAATACTCGACAAATGTATGGAGCACTGCCCGCTTCAGTTACGGTAAACATGGTAACAAAACACTCGGAGACATCCTCGGAACCGAACCGATCCATAGCAATTTGGAGCCGTTGGTGCAGGTTGAAGCTTCAAAACCTAGGATTGAGGTTCTTGAGCATGGAACCGATAAGGTGAGTACACGGACTTTAAGATCGTAATGCTTACTCATATTACTTGATCGTAACCTGTGCGATATATTCTATAGAGTTGTAGATGGAGGTAAGGATTTTCGGACGCCGCCATTTAGCGCAAAGTGCACATACGCTCGATAAACAATTTAGTCTACTCGTGTCGGCGAACGCAAGCAACCTAATCATGAACAACGCAAGTGAATAAGTGTAGAACAGCGCTGCATCCTAAACAAGAACTGACAACTAAAGTTATTTAAAAACCTGTAGTTATCAAAAGCTGTACTCCTAAGTGATGCTGATGTAAGATGATAGAACGATTTTGCCTTCATTGCACTTTACTACAGCTACAATACTTACTCCAGGTTGGGCTTTGGAAGAATATAATTTAACAGTTCACACCCGTGCTCGGCCGGAAACTCTATACATAGCACTTTATATTGCTAGGCATTGAATACTTTTATAAGTTTAATGAGCTCAACATTTAAGGAACTAAGAATTCATAGACTAATTATGTATGCAATTGAAAAACGAAAAACGTAATTTTTGTAAGCAGGAGCTTATTGAAACCAGCAATTACATCATAGCTTAACTTAGCGAACATAACTGCAAGGTGTTTAGCAAGTATAAATAATAACCTACTATGAGACTATTTGCCATGTTAATTTCGCCAGCCGTGATAATTGCGCAACAGGGAGCGCTGCTTTACCGTAGTACAAAACAACTTGTGTTAAAGTGAGCAAGATTTCAATTTATTTTTGAGTTTACGTTCTTTTTTCATTGTTAGCTTAAGGAAGCCTCCTTAAAATCTGGCGCTTCTGAGCAAGAATTCGTGTACAGTCTAACCATTCCCAGAGGGCGTTACCAAAAGTGGTCTAACTGGTCCAAATGTGATCCAATTGCTTGTGTCCAGAGTCGACGCCGTGAATGTGTTGACGAATCTTGGAATCGATCCGACGTCAATAGATCAGGTGCAAGACGGTGTCCTAGTAGATATTACGAAATGACGCGCAAATGTAAGAATAAGAAAACGTGTATAACATATGGTGAGTATCTCGCTGTTCTGAGATTGAAACAATGCTTGATCAATTACAGTTCACTCGTTGTCACGAGCACATTTTATTCGCACGATTATGATGTAAACCGCGGTTTCAAACGGAGCACACGTTTGAGATATACTGCTACGAATTTCCGCGTGTAATCTGCTGGTTTACTTCATAACTTCGTACAAGCTTCTTCAATAAGTATGGCAACCACAGAAATTGTAACGAGTTACACATGATTTGGAAACATTATTAACCAGCTTAGGTTATGTGGCGAAGAGCATATTGCCATGCTATGGGATCCTGTTTCGGTCAAAGATAATAACGCTCTACTTTTATGTAGACTGGAAATAATATCACTGCACTGATGTTCAATGATTTGGTATCATTTTAATTCTATAAAGGTTGTCATAAACTGATGAAGATTCAACGACTGACCGTTGGAGTAGAATTTCGTTACGGAGTTAATGAATATAGATAGCGAAGGTTCTAGCCAGGGAAGTGTTATATTGGCTAATACTGGTTTACACGTATTTTACACGAAACAGCTAAATATGTCACTTTTCTGATGCACACAATAATTTTGGAGAGAATTCGGTACGTTAAAAGTTAATTCGTGGATTTTAACTGCGGTCAATCATGAATGGTTGAGTGGGATAAATGTATATCACTAGCAGTGAAGTTTTGTTCGTAAATGGAATATTCTATGAAAAATAGGCAATCAATCACAGGCAAACGAAAATCTTTTTACATAGTTGTGGATACCTGTTAATGAGGCTTGGAAATATCAGAATGAATTGAAGATAATAGTTGAGACACTGATTCCTGTTTCATAGTGTTTTGCATCCAAACTACTAACCCTTGATGCTTTAACACCATCGCATTGTGTTTTATGCGTTCTTTAGTAGACTAGCGATTACCTTCATGAGATAACAACTTGTTTTTGTAATGCCTGTGCATAAGGAGTTCGACCTCTATGTTAGGTCAAATTAGACTATTATTGCTCTAGGTATATTCTCTAATAAATAGTTTCATGCACAAAATTTTACTAACCAGTCTGTTACGTTCTATTACTTTGCTAAATAGTTGATGGCATTTTAGTGATTGGATTAGCGCATACTAATAATCTAAATATATCTAACAGCTCAAATTCTTATACTAAGAAGCGCATGTATTCCATTGTAACTACTGAGTATTAATCGAACCAAATTACAATACCTCGAGTTTTTATCCTCTGCAATGCAAATTACAGCATTGGAATGCTTGCTGCTCTTAACCTACTGTTCTCCATTGCTATTCCAATATACTAAGTTTAATGTTAATGGACAGACAAAAATACTATTTTTAGGTTGCAGCTGCGTTTAGTGCAAACTCGCTCACACAACAGTGTAAGATTGGATTTGTTTCAGATTAAAATACCACAGTTACAATTTTTAGTGCAGCTGGTAAGGAAACAAACTGCTTTAGGAAACCGAAAGTTGTTTGAGCAGATGAGGTTTCCAAATTTTTACATCGCATACTAGCTTTATGATGGGGTCAAATATTAATAGCAAAAGCCTGATAGCCGCAAGCCATATTGTAAATGTAATGAGTTAGTGATGTGGTTCAAAGCTTTCGCCGGGACGTTTTGGATTCGATGTTACAAAGGCGAAATGTTTCAGGTTTAATAAATTGGAACGACAGTGGGAATAAACTTAAAGTTGTCCAACCAACTTGGTGTTTATGAGAGAGTAATGATCTGACAAATTATTATAGAATCAACCTACAGACGGTCTCCTTGGTGGATATAAATCACTATAGCTTATTTGCTCATTTGACCGGTGTGATTTAACAGATGAAACGAGAAGTTGACAGTACGTAACACATAGTTTATCACATTACTTTCAGTTTTACGGTTTGATTTATTAGGTAGCTAACAAGTGGGTTTTACCTCTGCATTCAAGCCAATGTTTGATGGTTTTTATTATAAGGAAAATATAAGCTTATTATCCGTGGTCAAGCCATTTGTGTTAAAGTTATTTTGCGTAACACGCCACTTTTCAAATCATGGTAGTTTCTAGCTCGAACGACCTTCCAGTAACAAACTCCCAGAGAAAAACTTTTGAATTGTTTTCAAATAAACCAAACACAAACAGATGAAATTGTGTTTCTAATTGTCAATGTTGCAATATTTTTCAACATTCAAGTTCATGGTCAAACAAACCTGATTAGCAACAATTCCCTATGAATGAAACTGGTACAGAGGCGCATGTTTTTTCAAATAACAGTCATAATTCTGAAGCCTGTATATTTATAAGTTGATAGCCCTGCTACGGTAACTTTCTATGTGAAGCTTGTCCCCAAATCCTTGTAAGTAGGAAGAATATACCTTTGGAAATAAGGGAGAACCGTCCAGTGAATGTTGTTCATGCTGTCCACGGTTCATACATAAATTTGAGTTTAAAAGATGTCTCTCAATAACCAAGTTCTTGGCTTACAGCTTGGGAAATACGAACGACTAGTGTCTTATGACTGCTCATTCAGTTTTGGCATTATACGTTTCATCAAAACATTATAAAATGCAGTTACTTGTCAATATGATACTCCTAGTAGTCTTCCATTAAACAGATTGATTCCATCACATATATTACATGAGTCTTCCTTATGAAGCTTTGTGTATTTATTTGAACTAAATTTGTAGGTCTTACTGCCTACATAGATTATGCACGTCCACTGAATGCAGCTCAAAGCTGATAAAACAAATTAACTTAAATAAATAAAATTAATGGTATATTCCTCGAAGCTGCGATGTCTGATCATTATGGTGCAATGGTATTCTTATTATTTTTACCTTTTCTCTCACTTTAGTTTCTTAACTTCATAACCAAATTCTTGCTTTATTAGCATTTTATTTACTCATATTTGAGGTGCGGTTTCCTTGTAAACAGCGGGTGTTACCTTATAAAGAAATACTGCTTTAATCTATCATGAGAAATGGAAGCCCTTTTTAAACCATGGAACTGCTTATCATTGGATTGCTTCTATGAAATCGGTGGTAAGCATTTCATGCATTCTAGGTCACATCTATAAAGAGAGTGAAAATTGTCATATCCCAGTAGTGTAAGGAATGTTTCACAACAGTAAGGAGAGAAGTTGAAATTACTGAGCGGATCTGATCAACACAGCAGAAATTCTTCAGTTGGTAGCGTTATGGGCCTCAAATGTATCTATGTGTAGAAGAAACCGTTAACTTGACTCGGGCGTTTACACCGGAGGAAAGCGGGATTAAATCTATTCACTAAAAGTATGCGTAGGAGTACTTCACTAATTCGGCAAAGGGTCTTATAATAAAGCGGAATTATTAAGCAACTTTTCTCTTGCTATTGACGTGATATATTAAATAATTTCATTCATACAATTACAGCATTCCTAATATCTGCATGCAGGTTCTAAAAGCCGTGGCATCCTAGTGTTTCAAATTTTCCTCTAATGTCTAGTGATGGGCATGCTTCGTTGTAATATGGCTTTGTCAGTATTTAGGCACTTATATATACAACAACACATTTGAGCCTTTGCTGAATACATACATGAATATTTTACAAGCATTAAAAGCAAACATTCTAGAAGACCCTTTCAGAAGTATTCCCGTATACAAACAGGCGATAATATATTGTATCAATGTATATAATGGTATAAGTGACGCTGTAACAGCACCTCTAATATTTGCAATAAAGTATGAAGACGTTTTAGCTTGGGATGTGGTGGTTGACAGATATATTTTGTATCGAAAGCGTAGATGACATGTACTGTAGGGAACTTTGAAATGGCTGCAAGTATTTCAAGGAAAAGTCTTTTCTTTTAAATGAGTGTATCTCCGCACAGAACGCGATCACTTTAGCCTTAATTAGTGTAGAGAAGTCGCTACTACTGGTCAGTATTATGAAATCTGTCTCATAGTTTCCAGGTCTTATGTGGTACATAGGCGCTATGCGGAAAGTCCTAGCTCGTGATGCTAGCCATTTTCCTCTGTACATTTCATAACTGGCATGGCAGTGGAAGATGTGCCGAGCTATATCAAAGTCAAGTGGCAATCATGTAGGTCTGCGGCAGTCACCCAGGCCGAAGTGACACTAGCTGCTGGTATCCTGAAGTAATGGGGACGGAATCAGGCAGGGTTCCACTGAGAGGCGCACCACTGACGAGACACAGAAGGTCGAAACGCCGGCGTCTGGTGCTGTTCCAGACTAGTTTAAGCCAGCTGATTGAAAGTGACCACGATGCGTTAGCTGAATTAACGCGAATGCTTAGGTGACCAGTGAAAATATAGTGCCCATGCATTTTGGATTCCCCTTCACATAATGTTTCGCAGGTGCGCCTAGTACCAATCCACCTGAAAGTAGATTCCAGATTTCTAGCTTTTCAGCCTGTAACGAGGAATGCCGTGGTTCCGGCGGTTAATGGTTTGCAAAATCTAACTTCGTGATAAGACTTTCTCTACATTTCACGCTTGCTATCTTTGAAGCACCTTTTGTAGAATACAGTTTGTTGTGTATGGTTAATGAAGATGAAGGAAACCGAGACGTTAACTAACTGTATTACCGCAGCATTGTACACCATCTATTAAAATCTCAGCAAAACCCTCATCTAACGAAGTTGAGAGAGAGAACGCGAGATCCAATCAACTGCTGATTTTTAAACTAGCATACTTATTTTATAACAGACACAATTTACTCATGCATGCACGTTTTCAGATCGTTCGGTCAGGTATCGACTGACGTTGCGACCACTAAGTTCTACGTCTTCACCTAAACGTTACTGCTCGAGGCGAACCGTGGACTGATAGCAAGGGTAAACTTTTTCATTTTTGTAGTTTTTAAATGAGGTGCTTAAAATCTGCATTTGAGGTAATTAAATGGTTAAAACATGTGGCAGTAGCAGATGTTTCGTGTTGTCGTCAGAACCATAAGAATCAAGTTTAAAGTAACTGCTTTTCAGCAACCAACGTTAATATATCTGGTGTTGACGGGCAGATTAGTAGGTTGTACTTTTCAAACACCATAATTACCCTAGTTTGATTAATCTTGTATCATTTGCATGACAGGTATTTTTTGGGTAAACTTGTAATCACAGACAAAAGCGTTATTATATTATCGCTTACAAACTTGTTCGTTCTATATTTTATAGCGGGTGCCGATTACATTTCCCACTGCTCTACGTTTTTGAGTTGTGTCTCCAGAGTATGCTTATGGCATGGTGGAACAAAGCTACATAGTCACCAAATTTGTTACGATCATAGTGTTAAAACCGTCAGCAAACTGCACTTGGCGATTTTAAGTAGCCACCTTTTGGAAATGCTTCTACATTCAGCGCAACTAGATCTGTCTGTATTTCGTAGCGTACGCTAATGCGCACTGATTTTGCGTCTATCTACAAAGTCGCTTTATTCTCGACAAAGCGAGACGCGCCTTATCGGGCATAATCATTTTGTGATAACAAGGTGTGAATAAAAACGTAAAAATTTCATGTTTGCTAAAACAGTGCATGTGCGTATGGACGTGTATGTAATTGTGTATATGTTTAGCTTTGTGGCTTAAGCTTGTAAGCGCGCAGTAGTATTTTTGACTGTTTGATAACGTCGGCGAAGTATGGATAATCGTTTGATGTCTGTGTATTGGATAGACTTATCTAGAATTCCACGTGGCATTGCATTTAGTTCTTGGCGAATCACGTTCGCCATCACATAATGTTGATAGCGGATATTTGTGGCTTTTTATAGGAAGAACGCCTGTCAGGCGAAAACCCAGAACGTCCTAGAACATTACCTTTGAAATATATGATGGAACTAGGTACAGCTGAACCACCCAGCAGGCACCACGAGGAGGTTGTTGGGGTAGCCAGGCATTTAGTGCGACATAGATAGTTGCAAACTAATAACCAAAATATCGTTTGTTCCATATTGTCTATCGGTGGAAGGTTCAGCATAATTTTCCCCATTGCACGTACTAGTTCTGGTACGCAGGGTGGGTTGTCACCTTATCGCTTTGTAAGTGCGATGATGTGGCGATTCTCTAGGACATTTACCATGAATTATAGCAGTTTATGCTTGAAGGTGTTGCTGAGGGGTGCCTGGAATATCAGATTGTACCCGTTGTATTTTCGATGCGTATAAAAATGATAAAGATATCTCAGGCGTACACAGCAGAAAAAGAGTGAGCAAACAAGCATGTTTTATGGTGGTAAATCATTAGACTACTACACCCCGAAAGAATGCCTTTGATAGGTAAATACTAGATATGGGTACATTTACGAAAGCCTAGATAGACTAAGTGCTCAAGCTAGTTGATTTGTCCCGCAGCATTCATAGGTGTGTTGTGTTAAGCGCCAATGTGTCCGCGTTACAGGGGGTCATGTTAGGGTTATTGTCCGTACGACTTTCGTATGTGCCATTAGGTAATATCTGACTGCCCGTGTATGTCAACTGAGTACGCTTTGACATGTTGGTTTGGAGCAATCAAACAAGAAGACACGGCGCTTGTCACTGTTCTGGTCAATTCACTATACAGCCAAGATGGGCAGTGCTGACGTGGATATCTGAAACAGACTCTTGTTGGATCTTCCAATATACCCTGATAGATACGAACAAGAAAAAGAACAAACAATTAAGGAAATACTTGACCGCAGAATCCTGCCAGCAAGATATTTAGAAAGCAGAATTTGGCTTAACGCAGGATCGAGCTTAGACGGAAATCAATAGACATATAAAAATAAAGAAGAAACGGTTATCACAAGGTAGATGCTAACGAATATAAGTCGCAAACGGCAGCATAACGAATCGTTGACCCACATTACCTGATCATCCACTGCTTCGTATAGTATTTTGCTGCATCAAAAAGTAGTTATGCCGCCGAATAATTTGGATGACAGCTTCACAATTGTAACGAGGATTAAGTCGCGATCTCGGCTTATGCAATCAATGGGCGGAATCAAGTCTGGGTTCGTAAAACGCGGTTCCTAGGATGTGTTTTTGTTGCAGCCGAAATCAGGCAGTTTTGCATAGGAGGCATTGAGAATTGGTAAAAGCACTTTCTCGATTCTCAGTAGAGAAACAAGACAAACGCAAATGGCATAGCAGATTGCGTTAACGGTTCTGTTGAAGGTTGCTGCCGTTCCTGAAGTAAGCACAACCTTATGTTCAATATCATTGATTTATCCACTCTGACAACTCATATTGCGCAGTGATGCAGGAGTACATAGTAAAGTGGCAGCATTTTGAAACGTGATGGACAATAATACATAGATTGTGGTAATAGCAATAGCGCTAATCGGGTGTGATTTATCAAGCATTTAAACATACATAGTCAAACATGTGTGCCAGTAATTTGTTGTAAATGGAAACGGACTATTTTCTAAACAGGTATGCTTGAAAACTGTGGAATCCGAATCGCGAACGAAGACACTGGCTCAGACACTACTGGAGATGAAAGAACAACACCGAATTCGTGGCCATGGCTGGTGAGTTTGTGCTGATTTTCACAACCGACAATCTAGTTTAGCAACTGTTCTGTGTTAAGCACCAAGTAATGCCATTCGTATTACCTATCAACGATAAATGAAAGTATCGCCAAGTTGCTAGCCGAATGTAACCTCAATTGTAATCGTTGTAATTCATGCAGTCCACTGCTGAATATCTTGCATTCGTTATTTTTCGAATTGGACTGTACAACTTAAAATTCCTACAAATAACTGGTTTTGGTAAGGTTCCTAAAAACGGCATGCGGACCTTCAAATTACACATGGAATGCTTCCGAACTGGCCAGTTTTTTATACTGCCAATTTACATCAGTTAGAACAGAGTATCAAGAAATATAAGAACATGCTGTACACTGCGTAATTATGAACTTGCGGTTAGTTAGCATTTAAAATCAGAAGCGCGAATAATATGTTTGGGACATCACAATCCCTGGATAACGAGTGTAAGAAAGCTTTCGATGATGCATGACTGAATGAGAAGAAACACTTGCACATAAAGATTTAGACCACAACCTCTTTCATTTCATGTTGCCCTGTCCCGAACATCTTTCATATGATTTTGAGAACCTCTAATCCAAAAGCATGTAGGGGAATCCGGTAAAACCGCTACACTTACTCTCCCATGCCAAAAATTAACTTTTAGTTATAAAAGCATAAAGGGTTGAAAAATGTTTGATTTATACGCCTAAGGAATAACTTCTCACATCTACAGGGGCTTCGTAATTTAGTTATTTGTTTATTCAGCCACAGTTATAATCATTTCTAAGAACGTTGTCAACAAATTTAGGATAAGCTTGCTTTTCATGTCCAGTGATGACAGTTTACACAGGTTGAAATTTTATGTGGTTAAATGTTCAAAATTTATGTATTGCGTTAAAAATATTGCAACGCATTGCTTCCGTCAGCTCAAATCTGACAAGTAGGTTAAATACCTATAAATAGAGAAACGCTTCAAGCAATCAAAATACCTCCTTTTCCTATGTGTCTGAACATTTGCTAAGGAAAAACGCTAGCATTCGTCTTTCATGGTAACAAGTATCTACTTGCAGCTAAACAGAAATAAATAAACACGTTTTTGTTTTAATCCAATATGTTCCAGGAAGTGAGTTTCTTGCCAAGCTAGATGAGTCGAAATTAATGGCTGCGTCAGTAATCGGAGTGAGAACATTGGTGCCAACTAAGCTGTTTAATTTTTGAATGCTGGAGCTGTAAAATCATGAAATGAAGGTAAACATGGACAAACCAAAACTTAGTTAAGGAAGCGGTGTTTTGAAAATTGGCTGATAATGATTGTCTAAACAAAGCTTCTGCATACAGTTGAAGGAGACACTGGTTGCAGAAGATTTTATTACTTGCGCTTTGATCACATGCAAAAATGTAACGTTGCAAACGATCCCTGATGCAAAACAAGCAGTAGCTTGAAACTTGAAAACGAAGGCACATTCCGTGATAGACCACTGCAGAATCATAACTAGTGAGACAAGCGTTACTTTCCTCAAAAAATGTTGGGTGTGACAGTCCGCTGTTTTATGCACAAAAGTTTAGGGAGATGGCTATTAATAGCTACGGTCTGAGCGAGTTTGAATATTTTCGCGTTTATACTGGTAAATAATTGTAAACGCCACGGCCGGATCAACTAGATGATATGTGCAAAGTAAGTGCTATCAAAGCAGGAAGTCTGCATTTTCTATCTCAACGAGTGTCCTCCTGTTCGACATCGCCTAATGACATCAACACACTTTGGAATTTACTCAAAGACCCGCGTACGCGGACGCCGATCCGTTCTGCCGATGGAATTACTTAAGCAACTACAGCCAAACTGGTAAATGCAATGTGTCGTGACGAAAATTGGTTGGGTACACATGCTCAGAAGCGCTGCTAACTTCCTGCTTGTCCAAAGCCCGTGGAGATTGACAACACCGAGTCCATCGAAATACTGTGGCTACAGGTGGCTCTACTTGCTTTTTCACAACATTTTCAAAATGCAACTGCAGATAGGTGATTATTTCTAACACGAGAAGGAAGCTTCTGTTGGTTCTCTTTCATCGAGCGGCCGTGAAACATGGATGTAAGATAACCATTTGCCCGCAAGGTCTGGGATTACATTGCAAATCAGGCTTCAAGTACTTAAGTCTGCATATTCTATGAGCTATTTGAAACGGAATTTTAAGGTGTGGGTTTATGCGGGCCGGGAGTATAGATACTGGCGATTCATATAGTCTCGTCCAAGTCGCTAACATCCAAACGGATGGCACTATCCAGCTGACTCATTCATGTCAATAAGATCTAATAAGTCAAAGTAGTCAATCTCTATTATAGATGTAAACGTAGATGAGTTTTTCCATCGACATCCACATGTTCTTTGGGAAAATAAAACATTTTTCCCTATTTATTACTCTGAACTGCTCTATGACGGTAGGAGCTTACACGATCATGTTTTAAGCTAGTACTCCATTTTCTACCTTCATCCTTAAAATGTTGTACTTTGTTATATGATCCGAGAGCTGGAAATGATATATTCTACAAACAATCGTCTTCTCATTGCACTTTTTAATTTGATACGGAGTACACATTGCTTATACATTTTTGTTTAACAGTTTATTGTTTACAATGAAATGCTATGGGAATATGCATATTCTATTTTTATGTAATATATATGTGGATAATTACGTTGTTACATAGACTGCATAAAACATTGAGTAATATATTGAAAACTTCCAAGTGGTGGTATTGCTGATTTCATGGCTGTTAGACATATAAAGAACGTCTGAATATGGTGGAGGTATTTATCGCGATTAATGTATCCATTAATTTTATATTTTGTTTCCATCCAAGACACAATGTTCGTTGCAGTAGAAACGTTATACTTTGTGCTAAACTTCCACCTTATTGCTAACGTTTTTACATTATATTGTCTATAAACGACTACGGATTTTATTGTCAAGGGAGGCCTTTAAATCGGCTGTTGCCCATTGGGTTGCCACAAACTTATATACCAACTGAAACAAATTTGAAAGAAACCATTTTATGAAATGTTTTCTTTTTAAAATGGATACAAACCGCGAAGAGCTAGACAGGCTTTTAAGAATCGTTGCTTGATCGATCAATGACAGTTGGGCTTTACTTTTCTACCCATTGGAAACTTTTATTTTTAATGACAACCCATTGGTAAATTTGGAGTCGACAACGCAACTGCTGAATATGCACTTTTTGGTGCATAATGCCTAGACTGACTTGACTCAATTATCAGATACATGAACATTATCCGTGCTAAAAGCTTTCGCAGCATTGCATCTCATTCATTGGATTTAAATAAAGAATAGTAGTGAAAAATACACAATTTAATTACTCTCCAAATGTAAGCAAATCTAAATGCATACTACTAAATAAAGCAGTTGCATGTTATAAACCATTCGTACTTATTTTAAACACGCTTAGGTTCGGTTGATTACAGCAGACTCTAAAGGAAACGAATACTATTGGTGCAGTGGGACGCTGGTTTCACCGGAGTGGATCGTTATCGCAGCTCACTGTTTTACAGATAACGGCTGGGTTGTTGTTTCTGGACGGCTATCTACTCCAGAGAAGTCCATTGGTACATCCCTTTACGCTTATTTGGGCAGTCAACGCCACAGTGTTAATCACGGAACAGATGAGAAATACATGATCAAAACGGTGTTCATTAATACCCACTATGACCCATTTGAAAACAATAAAGGAAATGATATGGCATTACTGCAATTAGCAAAACCTGCAGAATTGCGTGAGTTTAAGTTTATGATAAGTAAATATTTCATGATAACTAGTGTTTGGCGTCCTCTATATTTTGCGTGGATCCTATATGAAGTTATAATTTGCTTTATCACCCGATAAGTGCAAATGACTATGTGAAGTAAAACATTACTCACCTCGCTATGTTGCTGAAGTACTGCCAAATTGAAGCCAATAATCTTTATGACTTCTACGAATACTTACACAGCTCACCGAAAGTACGGATGATATTAGTTTTAGTACAGTGCTAATATACATAGAAGCTGCACTGAAAGTAGTGTGACACTGTATGAATTTTCAAATGCGGGAATATTACCATACAGCTGATGACTATTCGCACAGTTCCTTACTTGGAGCAGTTGAAAAATTTGTATGTATATAGACTGTAGTACCAATCGCATTTTGCCTTGTATGTCTCTCAAAGGTTCAAATAATCAAATGGTAGATAATGCATATTCTAATTTTAGATAATGTAACCAATGAAACAAAAGTAATTGGCATCCCTGGGCGACCTGTAATGTACCACTGGAAAACCGTACTGACAAGTTTTGCGGACACGGTGGTACCGGTTGTGTTGTCACAATATCCGTTATCAAGCTGCAAACTGTGAGAAGACCTATTTGTCAAAACAGGCCGTTAAGCCCACGTATAATAAATGTGTGGGTTTCATTACTGACTGATCAACTTGCATTGGAAAATCATTCTCCGACTTCGCAAATGGACATGAGCAGACCAACTTAAATGCGCAAGGCAACACAGCAATCCCATCCAACATTACAGTAAAACACTTCTGCGGGCAAATTAGGAATTTCCTGCAACATTTGCTCTTGAGAATGTATAGGGTAGCAACAATGAAATACATTTCAACAGGATGCTTTGAAATCAGATATTACATGCATTCTCATCAGCTGCTAAAACCCAGTCCATGAAAAAATGATGTTGCGTCTAATAGGAAGCTAGGTACAATCACTATTTTAAATTAAAAACAATCAAAGAAAACAGAGCAATGTGCAAATGGTTATAAACTCCGTCTGTTTGCACGAATTGATTTTCAGGAAACAAATCGCTGCAACTTCAGCAGAAGATGCAGGCTAGCATTGCTCTGTTGGCTACATATGGGGGACGGATTGCAGGGATTTTGACAAAAGAAGCAAACTATGATATACTAAGTAATGGAGCTAAACGACAGCTATGAAACTTTAGCAAACATATTCCTTTGGCCGAAC